CGTCTGATCTCTTGCAGGGCCATGATGTACTTTTCCAATGCCTTGTCTAGGCCTCTGTTTGCGCCTGTTTGGAGTAGGCTTGTAATAATCCAAGTTCAGGTGATGTTATTAGTCCTTACAATGTTTCTTGCCTTTTTAAGGCTACATTCTTTTCATATTAGAGTAGAAAGTTTAGCGTAATAAAGAAGAGAACAGGCCAAGGTATTAGATTTAAAAAAATATATCTTGGATGAAAGTTTTCCAAAAACAAACAAAAAAGAATGCTTTAATCCATAGAAATTTATGACTTGGTATAAAAAGCCTGTTAGCTTTTTAGGCAATTAGTCGAATTGAAAAAGTACCTGATATGAGTTCATATCAAGTTTGTCTTAACATTTTATTTTGAAATCCATAAAAAAAAATTCCACATACCATTCCACAGCTGACATCACTAGAGAAATATGCCAGCAATAGGTTACAAAGTTCTCAGTATGCCTAAAATTAACTTTAGATTAACCAATTGAGATCCCTCAAATTTCGTTTTATTCTAAACATTCTAGAATTTAAAGGGCAGAGCTTAACATATACAGAGAGAGAGACACTCTGTATATGTTGTTTTTGCGTGAATTCATTAAAAATTGAATAAATTAACAATTTTATTTGACTTTTCAAACATTAAATATTGAAAAAAAATTTTGTTAACTTACATAGTAGGGAAACTTATGTATTATTTCAATGAAAACTCAATAAAAACATTTTTTATTTATTATTCCCATTATAGGAGCTGGGTAGCTCAGTGATAGGGCACTAAGCTTCCTGTGCTCAAGGTCCCAGGTTCGAATCCCGGCATGGCAGAAAACATATTTATTCTGTTTCATTGGCTGTAGGGCGACCCTGGGGCAATGAGACTCCTGGGGCACACCCAACCTCCATAAAGTGGGTACCCTTAATTAAATGACTGATTAAAGGGAAAAACCTGGCAATTGAGTGTGATTCTGGCCCGATCCCCTCCCTGCACAATCGTAGGCCTTGAAACAGTACTTTCCTTAAATAGTATTAAACCCAAGACCCTTCATGGGTTGTAGTGATACAGATTATTCCCATTATATGTTAATGTTTGAGTTTCATCCAGGTTTAAAGTAGGCTGATTTCCCTTTTCTAAATTATTTAATTTATCACTGGAATATTTCATGAGAAAAGAACTTTGCTTTAAAAGTGGTTTACTATTTTTTATCACCCTTCAACTGTACTACATTTACCCCACTTTTATAAAATCTTCCTCTTTTTCCTCCAGTCACCTAAAAGGACCTTTGTTTTCTGCAAAAATTACTACAATTAACTGTTTTAAAGCTTTTTATTTCTTGTTTTTTCGTGATATGGGATGTATTGTAATAAACATAATTGCCTAAGAACATACTTTATTTATAAAAATAATGATTTTTTCAAATATTTTCCACATGAAGTGATTATGAAATTGTGTTTTTCTTCCTGATCTCTGTCATAGGAATTGATAAGTATTTATTAGTGACAAAATAATTAAAATGAAGAAACCTACTGATTGTTCCAATTATTTTCTTGAAAACATATATATTAGGGGTAAAAATATTATGTTTGTCACTTATTAATACGCATCAATTCCTATGATAGAAATCTGGGAGAAAAACAAAACTTCATGACCACCTTACCTGAAAAATATATGAAAAATCATTATTTTTATAAATAAAACGTTTTTTTAGACAATTATGTTTATTACAATACATCCTATAACATGGAAAAATAATAAATAAAAGCTTTACAAAATTTAATTGTAGTAATTTTTACTAAAAGCATGGGTAATTTTAGGTGACTTGATGGAAAATCACATCATTTCTGCACACAATTTAAGGTGAATCTCAAAATTTTTCCTAATAAACCTTAACTTAATCAATATGGACTTGAAGCTTATTAAACAAGGAAGTTTTTCTAAAAGTGGGGTAAATGCAGTACAGTTGAAGGGTGATAAAATAAAGAATACAGTGACACAAAGGAAGAAACAGTATATAGAAAAAAGGTTAGCTTGCCGATTCATACTTGACTTTATTTTAAAATCAAACAGTGTTTAGTATAAATAATTTTAGTTTGTCTGAGTCTTTTGATCTGATTGTTAGCAACCCATACCTGAGATAAAATAATTATAAAGTTCATTTAATATATCAATATTCTTATAATTTTGTTTTTTATTTAACAACCTCTCATTTCTTTTGGAAGTATTACTACAGTATGAAGTGATTTTTCAGGAGTTATATTATTAGCTAGAAATATTACAATATATAAAAGGGTTAGGTAGCCGTGCGGGCTAAGGCGCTTGGAATATGTAATCAAAGTTAAGCAACATCGAGCGTGGTTAGTACTTAGATGGGTGAACATCCACCAAGGGATTCCCCACTGACCAAGATTTCCCTCCCCCACATGTGTCTGTGAGGTCCGTCATCCTACTGGAGGCAACTCACACTGACTGAGCCTAGGACTGATGGTCCTACCCCATGTACTGAAATCAGGAATCGGAAGGTGTTCTACTAGGATATCAGTACCCTCCCTGAGGTTTGGTCCATGGACGTGAAAGAAATATAGGTTCTCGTGCACCTGCTAACTCTGAGCAGCCACAATCCATGGGTCTAGATCGATCTGTCACTGTCCTTGAACCCAAGTGAGTTCATTGGGAAGGACACTGTCAGATTGGTCGCTATGGAGCTACGGCTGGCTTGCCGCTGCACCATGGAGATCATGGTTCAAAGCAACGTGAGGTTGGGTGACTCCCTTCAGGCTATTTGTGCTCCTGCAAGCACGTATATTACTGTTAGGAGATCACATCATACGGCCAAAGATCTTCATGGTCTGTAGCGCCTACTAAAAATATATATATATATATATATATACATATATATTGTTTGTGATCTATGTGTAATTAGACTCAAAACAGTTAAAAAATTATTTAAATTCATCCTATTAGCAGTTGTTTTTGCCAACTCTTAAATGATATTGCTACCTACAACTCATTTGCAAACAAGAGCCATTCCTCCTTAATTTCATGTCAGTTACATAATTTTAACTGAAGATTTGAGATATTGTTTTCTTGTTAGTGATAGAAAGGACAATGTATAACATGATAAATCAGTTTTGTAAACAATGTGAAGTATATGTGAAATATAAATCTAGATGATGATGATTAAATGTTTCAAACAAATTATGAGGTGAACTGCAAAGTATATGAGAGTTGGCGGTGAGGTTGATCTGAACTCTCCATTTGAGGTAGGTTCTTTTAAGTTTGAGAGAGTGAAAAGTTTTATATACCTTGGGTCTGAAATCAATAGCAAGAATGACATGGCTCAAGAAATACAAAGAAGGATCACGGCTGCCAATAGATGTGTCTTTGGACTTGGCCGACACTTAAGAAGTAGGTACCTCTCAAAGAAAACCAAGCTGATCATATACAAGACCCTTGTTCGGCCTGTTTTGACATATGGCTCAGAGGCTTGGACGATGACCAAAAGGGATGAGATGAAGCTGAGTGTCTTTGAGCGAGGAGTCCTCAGAAGGATTTATGGTCCAGTAAAGGAGGGTGATGTCTGGAGGAAAAGAAAAAATAGGGAGCTCAGTTCTCTCTATGCAGACATCGACGTAGTCACGTATATTAAACTGGCCAGACTAAGGTGGGCAGGGCATGTGGCCAGAATGAGCACCCTTGAAATACCAAAAAAAATAATGATGGAGGAGCTGCACCTCGTAAGACGGGTAGGAAGGCCGAGGACGAGATGGTTGGACAACGTGGCCTATGATGCGAGAACCCTGCTTGGTGTGCGGAACTGGAGAGCTGCAGCAGAAGACAGAGCCAACTGGCGGAGGCTCTTGGAGGAGGCCCAGTCTCGGTGACGGGATGTTGTGCCATACATGAATGAATGAATGAACTGCAAAAAAGTGAGTGTGTTCTTTTGTAGCAAGGTTCCTCACTTTCTTTAGAAATTCTTATCAACAGAGCTGTAAAATTGATAATTTTACTGTATACCCTGATATTTTGATATTATATATATTTGTAATCAGTTCCAATCTTATGGCGGGGTAATCACCTGGAGGGGTACCCAGTAGGGACACCGATCGATCTTCAGAGAAGCTCGTAACTTGTTAGAAATTTAAAAAAAAAATACAAAATGTATTAAAATAATTAATTTTAGCCTATAAATAAAGAAAGCAACTGTATGAGAGAATTGTTGAATGAAATAAAATTAAAATATTACATAACAGCTTAAAACGTTAATTTTTTTAGAGGGGGGGGGGAGGAGATTGATGTCGTTGCCTGGGGCCGCCGAGTGTCTAAAGCTGGCACTGTTTGTAACACTCTATAGTAATTTTTTATTATGATAGCTTGCTCAGCATTTTGATTCATAAAATGTATTAAAGGACTGATAAACAATTCTTTCTTTTTTAGGGTGTTTTAACATGTTTATTGAATACATATAGTCTCAAATCTTATTGGTGAACTAAGAATATATTTTTGAATTAAGATATATTTTTGTAAATAGTATATCAACAAAATTAATTTTCATTTTCAAAATAAGGAGTAATGATTATATTTTTGTTTATTATTCCTTATTAATGAATAAAGGGAGCTTATTAGTTATTCAAAACAAAATTTCTCCAAGGCTGCCGATAAGTAATGCTTTATATCAGAAAACTCACTTAATTTCTAAAAATCCACTACTAGTGTAAGTTAAAAGATATTCCTGCAAAGCTGCAATGGAAAAAGAACTTTATGCATGCAAAAATTGAAATGGTTTAGTAAAGAATTGTTTAAAAACAATTACCTAGTGTCTATTTTTCTAAGCTACAATGTATTATAATCTAAAGTACTAGTATTTTTTAAAAAATTATTACGATCATTGGATAATTTGTTTTTTTGTATAAATAATATAGCATAGTGAAAATTTAAAAGCCTTATTAGTTATTTGTCTGTGTGTGTATACTTCTTTATTTCATTTATTTTTCAGATTCTGGCCTAGAAATGATAGAATCTATTAGTGAAATGAATGTCAGCAGTAACAATATTGAAAGTTTAGTAAATATTTCAAAGCTAAGAAACCTCAAGATCTTGTCAGTCTCACACAACAACTTAACCTCCATTAGTGATTTGGACCTTCTATTTCTGACTAAATTGAACATTTCAAACAATAAAATAAAAAGTTTAGTTGGAATAGAACAACTCTCTTCTTTGGAAACCTTATATGTATCATTTAATTTAATTGAAGAATTTGAAGAATTAGATTCTTTAAGCAAATTGGTAAAATTAATCAATGTTGATTTGGTGGGTAACCCAATATCACAGAAAACAGATTATCGTACAAAAGTACTGATTAAATTTGGCACAAGAGCATCTGATGTGTGTTTGGATAATGAAGTTACTACTAATCATGAATTGGAACTATTAGCTGTTGTTCAAGCCATTAATTTTGTTCAAAAAGGTAAATTTCCTTCATATACCAAAAATCTTTCCCTAAGCCATATTTAACTCTAAAGTGTATTATTTATTATGTTATTTGTTATTTATTTAATGAAATTTACAACTGTATAAACAATACAACTAGTAAAAATGCACACATTAGAAATAATGGCATGAACAGACTTGAAGAGATACTGCCCAGTGGTAGCATTCCCTATTTAATTCTAGGTAAGAAGGTCACGAGGCCATCTTTTCAGACGCCTAGGAGGATTATCAGGAATCAAGGAAGAAGCAAGGCTGGAAACAACTGGATTCGGATTGGACTGGAGTTTATCATGAAAGGCTCGGGCTAAATCAGCACCATTTTTATTATGTATATAAATAATCTATGATTTCTAATTTATTTTTTTATGTTTTCAAAGTTTATTGAATTATTAATAAATATTCAAGTAATGTTAGATTTTAAAAATAAAATATATTTTTTTTTAATTATTATTCTTGAATTTACCAATTCTTCTAAAAATATGTGAGTTCATTTTCATGAGTGTTATATTCATTTTCATGAGTACCACTCTGAATTTTTAAAATTGTTTCCACCTTTGAGCTTGTAATTTATAATATTTGAGCTAGAATAATTTATTCTTTGAACGTAGTCTCAGGTTAAAGTGACTTTTGCATTGAATGTTATTAAAATGCCCTGTTGATGAAAGTTTTAAAGTTATCACTTTATCAAACCAATTTTTATTCTAAGCGGAAAATATGATCTAATAATTTTGAATAGTCAGTATGTGGCATTTCATTACTTATATATAAATAATTAATAAAATTTGTTTTTCAAGAATAAAGAATTACATAAACTTAGATTCAAAATAATTCAGCAACCTTCATTTCAGATTATATGCTTGTTAAAAATCAAACAAAATATTTTTTACTAAATAGCTTCTATCTTGTTGCATTAAATTTCAGATTATTTGGTGACGGGTTGCCCGATTTCAATAAAACTTTTTTTGGTGATACTAGGTCGAAAAATACTTGACCCATGTTCGAAGGTTATTGCCAATGCGCCCCAGGAGCCAAGAAAAAAAAATTTATATTTATATTCAAGCAAAATTTATGTTATCAACTTTTGTCATTGCGGTTGCCAGATTTTTAGGTTAATATATCCCAATCTATTTTTGTTTTGTGCAGAATAAGAAAATAATATTGTTTATGCTGTTGAATGTGTTATGAAGTATCTTGAATATCAAAAACCAAAAGCGCTTCCAGTAAAGTACGCTATGTAAATTTTAGTTATGAAAAAGAAAGTTACATTCATTTTTAGTGCCCTTTGAAGCTTTGGAATAGGAATGTTTATAGATATCAAAATTGTAAATTTTAGTACTTGATCTTCTAGGAGTATTGTTTTCCAGCATCTAGTGGAAGTTTATCGAAGAAAAAAAAGGGAAGAGAGAAATAGAATAGAATTTTTATAGACAATGTCTGTTTCTTCAGCTGATGCAAGACTTTCGAAACATCAAACCAAAGAATATCAGCTTTACAGCAGAGGTTGTGGAAAATATGTAGAACATTGCCTTACCAAGTATACAAAAATGACAAAAAAGTGTATACTTTTTAAGTCATTCGACAATCTAATTTTGCCACCAACCCTCGTAACTTTTTTTCGATGAGGTATATAGATAAATTTAAAGAGCTTCGAAGAAGGAGACTTTAGCTAAGTTTCATCAAAATCGCTAAATTAATTTAGGTGCTATAATCAATAAAAATTTAAATCATGCAACTGGTTAGGAGAGGTTGCGGAATTAGGGTCACCAATTTCGATTAAACTTTTTTGGTGCTACTAGGTCAAAAAATATTAGACCCATGTCCAAGGCCATGTAAATTTTTATTATGAAAAAGAATGTTACCATCATTTTTTAGTGTTCTTTAAAACTCATTAATATGAATTTTTATAGATATCATAAATTGCAAATCTTTGCAATGCAAATTCTCAAGATTTTCTTAAAATTCAATGTTGGAAAGCTAAATTACTGCTTTTCCAAACCACATCAGTAAGTTTTAGATTCCATTATTTGGCAGATAGCATATGGGAACAAATTTGACAAACGACTTAGCAATGTGGGGGTAAATATATTTTAGGGAGAAACAATATTTTTTTAGCTCCAACTCAGGTAATCTATTTTTCTCCTCTTCTCTTTTTTTTTTTTCTTCTCTGAGCTTCAAACAGATGTCAGAAAAACAATACTAAAAAATCAAGTACTAAAATTTGCAATTTTTAATATCTATAAAAATTCATATTTATAAGTTTAAAGAACATCAAAAAGTGAAGGTAACTTTCTTTTTAATTACAAAAATTTACATGGTCTTGGAAATGGGTCTAATATTTTTTGACCTAGTATCACCAAAAAAATTTAATCGAAATTGGTGATTCCACATCTGTAACCTCTCCTCGTCAGTTGAATGATTTAAATTGTTACTAATTTATTATTATTTTACTGATAACACCTAAACTAAAGTCCCAATTTTGATGAAACTTGGCTTAAGTCTCCTCCTTCGAAGCTCATTAAATTTATTTATATAACATACCTCACCGAAAAAAAGTTACGAGAGGTGGTGGCAAAATTAGATTGTCGAATAACTTAAAAATTATACACTTTTGTGTTATTTTTGTATACTTTGGTATGGTCATTTAAAAGTCTACGAAATTACCAAATAAATAATCATTAAAATCGGATGATTTTGTTCAATGATATGTTCTAAATATTTTCCACACGTTCTGCTGCAAAGCTGATATCCTTTGTTTTGATTTTTGGAAAGTCTTGTATCAACTGTAACAATAGACATTGTTGTCTATAAAAATCGATTGCACAATTTTTCCCACAAAGAAAGTATATTAATTGCATTTCATCCTAAAGCAATATCTATTCTGCAATCAACAGATGTATCTGCATTTCTTCAAGCCGTGCAAGGAAGAATAAATAAAGTTGGTTGCTTGGAAACGGAATAACGGACAAAACAAAAGCTAAAAAGCTCGTGGTAAATAATTTTTTTTTTTTGTATTCAATTTTTGGATTCTACGTATCTTGAAACATAAAACCTCAAATTTTGAGAGGGGAGGGAGTTGACGTTTTTTTTTCCTTGAACAATCGAAAAGTTTAATTATTGAAAATATTAAACCACAATGGTGCTGAAAACTGGCGCATACGTGTGTTTTTATATTTTTCCATTTTACTTTTAAAAAATTAAATTAAAGACGCTGTATTACATATATATTTTGAAATTAGAGATATTTTCTGACTTAATAGAACTGACATTGTTGATCATTAAGAGTGCCGAAAACTGGAGTTTTACCCGTTATATGCAGGATGCCCCCCCCCCCACCCGTACTTAAATATTTAAATGGGTGATAGCACACCTCAAGAAATACAAAAAAGTTCATTAATAAAAGTACTTGAGAAAAGTCACGTTTTTTTTTTTTTTTATGAAGCGATAACTAAAACAATACTTAATTTAAGTAATTAAAAATTTCTTCACAGTAAACTAGACAAAAGTTTTTTCAAATGAAAGTTGAGTTTGTCATTGTTAAAACCATTTAAAGGAGACTTTTGAGCGCATGAACCAGGCTAAGTTCGGTTTTTAAAAATCTCATTAATTATTTGCGATATTTTTTTTTATCATCCTCCAACTATACTACAGATACCCCACATTTAGAAAAACCTTAGTTGTTCAATAAGTTTTAAGCCCATATTAATCAAGTTGAGAGTTTCTAACAGCCTGTTCCATATCCTTCTGCACTGTGAAAAGCTAACAGACAGACACAAAACATTTACGAGCATTTCTCTCTGCGCCAAGTGATGGAAACAGGATACAAGACATACTTCGCATCGATAACATAGAGAAACTTAACAAGATTTACTGGTTCATAATGTCAGCCTGCAATTCACTGGATTCCTTAAGCTCTGATGTCCCACACTCCAATCAAGTGCTATGACTAAGGATAATTGTTGGTCAGTTCAATTAATTGTTTGTTTCTTTTTTCTTATGGTTTTATTGATAATGTAGATAGAAATTAATTGGAATGTAATGAAGTATTATTTGTTTTTATAGTAAGTCAATGTACAGTTATGATAAACTAGACTCATGTAGGTGAAATAAAGTTATTCATATATGTATGATTTGTACAAGATTGTAAAATAATCTTTAACAAATAAATTCAATATCCACCAAATTTGTTCATCAGTGAATACTAAAATGTGAAAATTCTGCATTTGCAAATTGTGATTTAAAAAAAAAAAAAATCGGAGTACACACTCAACATGTAAATCACTCACTACTAGTGCAAAGTGGTATGTAAAACTTGAATTTTTTATAGGAGAGCATAAAAACTAATTATTTCTTTATAATTTATTAGTTTAATTTCATATTTTATTTTCTATGCTATTTTCCATAGTACCAGAAACTACCTACATCAGTTGCATACTACGAAATGTCACCTTTAGCACCAATGGAATAAAAATGGAAAAATGTTAAATACGATCTTTTACACTAACAGTAGTGATGTATACTTATAGGTATGTTTTCACTAGTAAAATGGATGGAACAAAAAATCCATTGGAAAAATTCAACTTATTGTTTGTTCGAAGTTGACGAGACTAATATTTTCTCTCAGTCAGAACAAAACTAATTTAAGCTGGAACATAAAAATATGATTTGATGACTAAGTAGAAATCGAGACCACGACGAGCTGGTTGAATTTCAATAGTATCAAACGAACAAAATCAGCCTAAAATGTTATAATCTCATAAAATATTGCATTAACCTAACCTTATTTCATGTGATCAATGCCTTCCACATTTCTTAGCCATTATATTATTAATAGTTATTCATATTAATTTTAATTATTAAATGAAATTGGTACTAGACTATTCTGAAATATTCTCCAAATTTCTTCCATGTTTGGGTCAAATTGAACGAACTGTTTTCAAACTATAGGTGTATCAAATAATACGTTTACTGATTCAAAAGCAGAAGTCTTTTTTTGAGAGTAGTGGATAGAATTTGATAAAATTGATACTTATTTATTATCTGTTAACCAATCCCTAACTTTCCTCCAAATTTGTGCCAAATTGAACTAGCGTTTCAGAGATATAGACGTTTCAAGGAAAACACATTTGCACATATATAAGAGAAAGTAAATGACGGAATTCAATAAAATCTATACAGAATTATAAGTTTACCAAAAACCACCTTCTTTCAACTTTGAGCCAAATCGAACGAGCCGTTTCTGAAATATTGGCATATCTATGAAAACACATTTACGCGTGCGCAAGCGGAAGATCTGGACGGAATTTGATTAAATTGATATGGGACTATCTAGGCACCAACCCGCACAATCCCTGAAAATTTCATGAAAATTGGATAAATGGTAGTAGGTGATATGCCTGTTACATCGATTTGACTATAGACAAGACATCGAACCAAATTTGATCCTTTTTTTTTTTTTTTTGTTCTTCCCTACCTCGCCTTTTAGGCTATACGGGATTTTCCCGGGCCGGGGGGTGAGGGCGGGGAATTTAAAATCCCCTCCGGCACCGGGACGCGAACTCGTACTGTTATCCGGTTGCCAGGCAACTAGCGGTGCTGTTACACACGCTTTAGCCTATTCGGCCACCCCGCCCCCCAAATTTGATCCTTGATGCCTGAAACATAAAAGGCGAATGGAAATTTTCAATTCTGAGCACAAAATTTTTTTTAAACTCTCCCTCGAATATAATGCTTCCCTACCTTCAGCAGTGAGGAAACAAAATAAATAAAACATATTAAAATAATTAATTTTAGCCTATCAATAAAACAACTTATTAGAGAAATGTTGAATGAAATAAAATTCGAATATTACATAATATAAAACAGCTTAAGAAATAAATTTAATTTTTTTTAGGGGGGAATGACGTCATAGTCCGGGGTGGGGAGAGCACCGAATGTCTAAGGCTGTTACTGACTCAAAATATCCGTATTTTCAGAAAAAATGACTACAAAAAATTATTGCAAACCTTTTATTTTATTTTTTTTTTCTTAACTTTCATGACACCTTGTATATATTCCTTTTTTTTTCTTTGGTTGTTCCTTGTTCATTTATTATTTTGGAGGGGAGAGTTGGAAGGGAGGAGTACTCATACATAAAAAAGTTTAAACAACTTTAAGTCTTAGGCAAATCTCATCAATATTGAATCTTATCACAGACACTCAGCCTGATCAAGTTTTTTAGACTCAAGCGACCCATAAATGAAAACTGGACATTAAAAATTTGATCAGATTTCAGTACTTTCCTTACCCGTGATGGCCGAGTACATTAGGGCACGGGTCCCAGTGTGCTCCTGCCGACCGTCGTGAGTCCGATTTCCACCTGGTTCGGTCAATATTTATTTCTTAGCAGTCCCGAGAAATGGATCTTGACACTTCTTCTCTTTTTTTTCCTCTCTACCTTGCCTTTTAGGTTATATGGAGGTTTGCCCAGATAGTTTCAGCAGCAGTGTCAAGAAAATATACATAAACAATTTATCCCTAAAACAATTATTTTCCATGCAAATATATATATATTTTTTTTTTTAGTCATCCAAGGACGACTTAAACATTATTTTATATAGTTTCTTTCTTTTTGTTACCAAATAATCACCATTATTAAAAAAAAAAAAAAAAGTCCTCCAAACCTAAATCCTTGATCCTACTACTCTTACTAATAAAAGATATGAACACTACTCATAACAAAAAGATATAATTGCAAACAAAATGTCTGACCTGGAGCAATAATCTTGGATGTATATCAATCTATCTTTATCTTCCAATTAAATTTAAATACTATAGTGCAATAAATTACTGGTCAAGATCATAAATACCAAACCAAGAAGTTTGCACATTCATAAATAAAATATCACTCATTCAATATCTTTAACTCGATATAATTAACTTTAAGACTATCACAGAATTAAACAATATTATATGTAAATGAATTTAGTAACAATTAACTTAATTTGTAATTAGCATATATTCTTTCCCATAAATTTGTAATAATGAGAAAGAATATAATAATTAATTACATGTGATAAGTATACCAGTGTAGGGCATAATTTATCTTTAATAATAGAAAACGAATAATTTTTTTATCTTTCATCTTAGATAAATATATAATCTGAAGTTGTCTATAATCTATTTATTCATTATTCTTATTTTTCAAATAAAATTTTGAATAATTGAATTTAAATTTATTTTAGCAAGTTACAAATATTCGATGTTCAATCTTTAATCTGACAATATTTTCATAAAAAGCAACCCCGACAATATAATGTTGGACCCTTATATTGAAGAAACCTGAAAAGTCTCAAGAACTTAATGCGAAATTGTGTAATCTTTGATCCGACCTTATTTTCATTAGAAGTGCCTGTGACAACATAATAGTGGACACTTATGTCATAGAAACCCAAAAAGTTTCAAGAACTTGATGCGAAATTGTGCAAAGTTTTAAAAAAATGTGCAATCTTTGATCCAACAGTATTTTCATAGGAAGTGCCTCTGACAGCATAATAATGGATCCTTATGTGTAGAAAATCCGAAAGGTTTCACATAAAAGTTATTAGAATGAAATTTTGATCTTAAATAAGGAATAATAATTATTAGATGATTCAGGTTGTCTGTAAATAAGGAATAATAAACAAATTATTTGTTATCAGGCATTGAATAAAAATTTATCTATTATTCATTATACAGTTTAAAAGTGGAAGTGTAATCAAATATCACCCAACAGTAAAGTATACTACTATGGTATTCTCTGACTACGTACAGTGGGTGACATTTTGCAGTGCATTATCTCAGAAACAACTCGTTTTGGGACTCAAAACCGCAGGATCTGATATGTCATACCAGAATGTATGTATCTCACTAACCATACCAGAATGTATGTATATGGTATGTACCTCACTTACCAAGGCCTCACCAATGTGGCACCTTCACAGTGTTTGAATTATTCCATTTTTTCCAATGAATTTTAGTTAAGTCCTAATAAGAATTAGAGAATCAAAATTATGATTCATCCACTCTCTATGAAATTCCATTACTTGCTTTAGTTAAGTTCTAACATGAAATAATCATATTATTGAACAATAATTACACCTGCAATTTAATTAACCTTCAATTTTCATGGAAAATTCAATTTAATTTCTACAAAATAAGCTGAAAAACTTCAAATGATCTAAAATTAAAAAACAAAAATATAATGAGGATTTCAGTTTCTTATTACAATTTAAGTGACAAAAAAAATCAGACTTTCCAATTTAATTTTGTCACAACTCATGGAAGGAAAGTTAAAAAGTAAATAAAATAAAAAATTTAATAGGTCTTTACAACAAAAATTATAAAACCAAATAAAGTGGCATTTTAAAAATATCACATAGGTAATTTCTTAAAAATTAAGTAATAATGCAAATCAAAATTGTGTAAACTTATTGCTGCATCTATAATAAAATAATAAAAAATGCATTAACATAAATCTGAGAGGAACTTTACAATTACAGGTTCTGTAGAGTTCTTTATGATTAAAAAAAAAAATTAAATTCTTTGAGATTTGACCAATTTGTGCTAATATTTGGTATTGGGAAAAAAATGAGCTATAATTTATATACATACATATAAAAATACATAATTGATCCATTTAAGTAATTGATTTGACATTTTACACATATATTTTGTAATACAAAAAATATCTAAAACAAAATTTAAAAAATGGATTACATGCTGCATCACTATACAGCCCATGTATTCCAAGTAAATAATATCTTACTGAGATTACAAAATAGATACAAAAGTTTCATATATTAAAAATGTTCTCTTTACAAAAAGCTATAAATATAAGTAGTCAGAATATAAAAATATTTTAGGAATGCAGTAAGAATAAATTATTGAGCTTGAGCTGAAACATCTGTTCCATCAAATCCTCGCAAATGAATCTGTAAAAAAAAATTAAATAAATTGTAATTAATATAAAATATGGTAAATACCTCCACTTACCCAAAATAAACAAATTAAAAATGAATCAATGAATTTACATGTGCTATGCAGATTTTGAAAAGATCATTGCACATAGGTATATAGGTTAATCATAACATTAAATAAAAATCTCTCATACTTTATAAGCAATAGGGTCCCTAAACAAATCCTAGTACTTGTGACCGATGCCGCCAAATCTGACCTTTAAATGGAATAATTATGTAGAAGTAATTGATTAGTTTAATTAAACCATTATTAAGAAACTACATTTACTAGTGAAGCCTCCCATGGCTATGCCTGCTGTTATAGATATAGAACTTCAAATTGATTGAATAGAGCTATTTGTTCTAACATTGAAGAGGATCCCATTGTTAACTTAAAAAAAAAATAAACGGAATCGAAACGTCGAATAAACAGCAGGAGAAATGAACATTTAGTAGTTTATTGAATAATTATTAAGTGATCTTATTCCCAATTAAATAATTATGTTAAAATATAATACTCAAAAGTCGGTTGAAGATATTTTGTAAATATATATATATATTTTGTATTTTTTGATTGTGCTGTTTCTTCTTCTACTTCATTCTCCTAGTTTCATCTTGGCTCCATTTATGCAACGAACAATATTTTGTTGTTTCAGTAGCATTTATAACAGCAACATACAATTCTATCAATGTAAAATTAAACATTATAAATCCACTTCCTTAAATCTCTAAACATGCTGTCGATTGAAAATATTTGTAACTTTCTTTTTACTGATGTGATTGAGGATTCGTACAGCTTAGAACCTTCTTGGGCCAACACAGACCATTTTGAGAAAAGTCATACATATAATCGCACAGTTAGAGGTTACAAACAGAAAATACTTCAGTCTTTTTTATATAATATAGCATGATTTGATAATTCCCAACAAAAAATTGTTTTCATTCATTTAAGGAAGGATACATTCTCATAATTATTTCCTAAAAGTAAATATGGATGGATGGATCATAGCAATACTTTTAGTCAAATACCAACTAGTCCAAAAGAAATAAACATTTAACCTTGCAAAAGGTTGGTTAAAATATTTTATTTATAAGATTGAAATTGAAAATACAAAGCCATATAATGGCTGTACCATCAAAACAAGTTCCAGGAGTATTATCAGAACACTTCATCACATTCTTAAATTCTTCAATGACTGCTACAATGGCAAACATCTTATCTTGATTTATAGTGTGCATAAAATCAGTGTTAAAGCAACATAGTAATAATAATAATATAAGCTTTATTGTACATTCTTAATAGAACATAAAGCCTCTCCTTTTATGGAAGTAAGAGTCTGTTTTTAACAAAAAAATAAATAAAATAATTTACAAATTTCTTCTTTAGAATAATTAAAACATAGTTAACTTTAAAAATAAAATTAATACAAGTTTTGATTTTAATTGGTATTTATTATTTTACTCCGCTACTAGTTTCTCAACAAGCTATTTCATGTCATTATATTCCTGAGTCCACATTTACTAGTTGTATTTTTTGTTAATACAATTGTAAATATCATGAAAGAATAGAAGAAAAAAATTATTTTACTCCAACTATCTCTATTCCTTACTACTGTTACCCAACCGTCACCCATTTTCTCCACTATTTCATTTCTCCATCTTGTGAAAGATTTTCCTCTTCTCTTATAATTCCTTGGAATCCATTCTGTGACAATTTTTAAACTTCTTGAAGCCAATCTGGCTACATGAACAGTCCATTTCCATTTTAATAAAAATGCTTCATTCGACAGGCTTTTAAGCTCTACCTGACTGAACTCTTCTGATGCTGATACGATCTTTCTTCATAATTCCTAACATGCTTCGGGAAAATTGAAATTGTGTTCTATTGAGCTTGTCATAGTTTTTTACGGATGTAGACCATGTCTGACTTCCATATAAAATTACTGGATAAACACACTTTTCCAATACTTTAGCATAGATAGCTGAAAATATTTGACTTTTTAATGTTTTTCAGGTTCCAATATTTTTTGCACCCCAAGTTAATCCTTTTATTTATTTCTTCTGATCTATTTTTTATTTATATGGTCTGTCCTAGGTAAATATTAATGGTAAAACATTAATTTCCGTTATTGAGTTAGCGAAAACAACAATGTCGTCTGTGAATCTCAGATTTGACAACTTAAACCCATTTATTGAGATACCATTCTTATCCCAGTTCAGCTTCTTAAACACATAATTTAGAATGCGGTTGAATGGAATAGGAGATAATGGGCAGCCCTGTTTAACACTTTTTTCGTTTTTTAGCATTTTATTATTTCCTTCCATGGCTATATAGAATCTACTGTTCATGTATATTTTTTTATATATATTAAGATTGATACTACCCTGTTCTTCTAAAGCTTGCCCATAACTGGTGATGGAATACAGGGTCAAATGCTTTCCTGATATCAATAAATGCTAGGTAGATCGGGACATTGTACTCTTTACTTTTTTCTATAATTTGGTTGATTATTTGAAGGCATTCAACAGTGGAGAATTGAGGCCTAAAAGACCGACTTGTTGATTGGGGTGGCTCTCTATATGACTGAAATAAGTCTGTTTTTGATAATTGTAGCAAATACTTTATATATTGATGAAGAAAGCATTATTGGTTTATAATTATCAATATCTTTTGGATCTCCATTTTTATGCAATCAAATTATTTTACTGATGTATAACTGATATGGCACATACCCTTCCTGTAATATCAGCTTCAGTGGTTTAGCAAGACACTTCTTCCCCATAATCAAGACATCGTTTGTAATTTCATCTGGGCCAGCTGTTTTTCTTTTTTTCAATTTATTCAGTGCCTTGATTACCTCTTCTTCTAGTTTATATTCCTCAAATTGACTTTTTATGGGTAAAGATGTATAGCAATCAGTATAGGACTATATAGGATTGAAAAAACTTGATTATTAACATTTTTGTTTCTTCTCGGTTGGTGGTTACTTTTCCTGAGGCTGTTCTAAGTTTATGTATTGTTTTTCTTTTTAGCTCAGTCAGCTCTTTGTTTATGATTCTGGTAGATCCTGTGTCTTGTAGAATTTCACAAATTTTCTCTTCATATTCTTTTAGTTCCCGCCTGATCCTCCTCCTTACAATCTTTCTAATTTTGCATTGTTCTATTTTTTCATGTGATGACTTCATTCTAACTATATTTAATTACTCTCTCCTGTTGACCATCTTTATGGTCGTGTATGAGAGTTTAATTTTTTTCCATTTCGCAGTAGGCTAAGCATTTTTCTAAGATATTTTTTAAACTTCTTTAATAACAGTTTTTAATCCGTCATTATAATACTGTGCTATTCTCTCCTTATTTGGATCCTTAATCAGATTTTCAAGGTTTTCTATAAACTGACTTTAGACTCCATCTAAACCCAACCCCGCCAAATCAGCCTTAATGCAATCCTCTCACCTTCTCTTTGCTCTACCCCTCTTCTGACCAGTTGGTACAGCGTATATTAAATTTTTTGCATAATAACACCATTCAGCGTTGTGCAACCACCTAAATTCTCCGGTTTACTCGTCCTTTTTCAATCCAAATATTCTGCGCAATACTTTATTTTCAAAAACCTTAAGACATTGCTCATCCCATATTGTAAGCGGCCACGTTGCGCATCCATTAAGTACCGTAGGAAGGACAATGGTTTCGTAAATTTTAATTTTTAAGTTTCGTGATAGGAGGCGAGAGGTAAGTAGTTTTGACAATGAAAAATAACAAGCATTTCCCGCCTTCAACCTAACCTTAATACCCTCTTCAATTTCGTTTTTTCTAGTTATCATAGACCCTAGATACATAAAGTTCTGTACGTGTTCAAACACATTCCCTCAATATCCACATCCTCGAAATTGATGCTGTTTTTGCAGCTAACCATATATTTTGTCTTATCCGTATTTATCTCGAGTATTAGTTCTTTACTGGCTTTCATCAACATTGATTTTATTTTTATTTTTTCCATGTCTTTGCTTAACAGTACCAAATCATCAGCATACCCAAGCGCAGATATTGTTCCTGCACCCAGGTTCAAACCTTTTTCGGTATGTATCACCTCTCTAATGCCAAATTAAATAGGACAAGTGATAGAGAATCACCTTCTTTTATGCACGAATGAACCTCAAATTTCTTGGGTAGATAATAAGCAATCCTACTTTATTGAGTTTTTCTGTCAAGCACGTCCTGACTAGATTCACTAATTTGTTTGGGATCTCCTGCTCAATTAGAATATTATATAGCTTCTGGCGGTCAATGGAATCATAAGCCTTTTTTAAATCTATATAACACTGGTGAACTACACCGTTGTACTCTAATTTTTTCTCTAATATTTGTAGTAAAGAAAATATTTGATCGATAGTGAAACGGTTCCGCCTAAGCCCAAATTAGTGTCCCCTATAACTTTATGTATATAAAATAAATTTTCATGCAGCTTCACAGTAGTTTGTAATAAAATTCGCATTTGGCTTCGTCATCACTGTCTTCGGCCGGACAGTGTATATTGATCAACACAATTTTAAACCAACGCCCCTAACATATGGTCACCGAAATCCTATTGCTAAAGAATTGTATGTCCTTCAAAGTGGATAGAAATCTATTCCTAATAAGAAAACCGGTACCTAAACAATGATTTCCGCTTCCTCCATACCAAAAAGTGTACTTACCTTCCCTTATAGATCTCTCCCCTGGCCAAGGAATCTCTTGCAATGTCATGATATCTAAATTGTACCCATTGACCTAATTTGCGACAGATTTAAGCCCACCTGCTGTATTCAAACTCCTTATGTTCCACGTCGCTATACTTAAATCTCGAGTTTTCAACTTGCACCATGAATCCTCAAAAGCAGTCCCCACCCGGAGACCTGAACAGGAGACTAGTTTGCTTCTGGATAATGAAAGTTTTACTTTATGAGGATCCATGATTGTTTGGTATTTTGTGAACTATAGGTATGTCAGTAGGGCTTTAAATCCTACAATACAATCCCTCATTTAAAGTCAAATATTCAGTTTAGTGGAACTCCAAACGCATTAAATTCAAGTGAACAAAAATCACTGGAACCTGTCAGCTAAGAAACTAGTATACAAAGAAACAAGAAAAAACTAAAGGAAATTCAAAAGATCAAAGCAATAGATCTCAGAATCTAGAAAGATTCAAAGACAATTGCAGAACGAATTCCACTCAAAACTTGGAAAGTACAACAAGCAATTTCTCAAAAGATGAAACAAAAACATGCCAAATAAAATATAAGACCAGACTTAATATTGGCACCTTAAATACATGGACACTCCTCAGACAGGATAGATTATGGGAACTCGAAGAAGCTTTAAAACATATAAGATGGGATATAGTTGGACTTGCAGAAATCAGGTGAAAACATGAAATTATGGCTGAAACAAACAACACAGATATTTTCAGAAGCAGTTATATATAGCTTATGTATAATATATATATATATATATATATATATATATATATATATATATATACACACACATATATATATATGTGTATCTATAGCCTACAACCTTCTCCTCATTCCAAAACTGCTTTATAGCCTGCTCTGTCAACTTCCGGAATTCCCTCCCGATCAAAATTCGGCATGTCCCCTCCATACGGAGATACCCACATTCAAAAACCTCCTATTCCAATTTCTGTTCCAAAAACAGCCAGATACCAGCTAACTATTAACATTATATATGTATTGCGTAGAAATCATATAATCATACGATAATACTGTTTGTAAGGGATAGTACATGTATTTTCTACTTTCGACACCACTCAATACATCTTTTTTTTTTATTCAATTATAACTATCTTTATATATATATATATATATATATATATATATATATATATATATATATATATATATATGAAGTAATGAAGAACGAAAAAGATACAAAATAGAATAAGTTCATTTCATAAAAAAAACTTTACTTGTATATATATATATATATATATATAGCATAAACATACACTTTAAGTAATGAAGAACAAAAAAGATACAAAATAGAATAAGTTCATTTCATAAAAAAACTTTACTATATATATACTGAAATGAACTTATTCTATTTTGCATCTTTTTTGTTCTTCATTACTTAAAGTGTATGTTTATGCTGTTCAACCATTATATATATTTTTAAGTGATTAGTTCATAGTTATAAGTGTTTTGTACATAGTTTTATCTGTATTGTATATAGCTTGTTCACCTAAGGTTTTCTTTACTTTTTAAATTTTATTTATTGTTTCAAACTTTAAGGCCAGTAGTAGTATTTTCTTTTTGTACAATTTTGTTAATCTAAAGGGGCTTAGTCCCAGAATAAAGTTTTTTTTCTATTTATCTTCTGTGTATTAAATTAAATTAAATATATATGATTAATTTATCTCTTCAGAAACAGAGAACAGTAAATTCAGTGTAAGTTTCATCATTAAAAATTATTTAAAGAGTAAAATAAGTAAATTCAAACCAGTATCTAAAAAAATTGCTAGTTTGAAAATAAAGATTAAAAATGGCATCCTCACAATAAATCAAGTACACATGCCAACATCAGAGAGAACATAGAAATTGAAAACTTCTATGACATTCTAGATGAATAAATTTACACTGTTAAAGACAAAAAATTTGCATCAGTAATTAGAGATTTCAATGCAAATACAGGAAAAAGGAAGATTGGATACTTAAATGCTATGGGACTAAATGGAGTTGGAAAATGCAATATACATACATGTATGTATATATTTCATTTCAAATAAAATATAGTGATATAAACATATAGAATGGTTAAGAAGTATTACCTGTAAATGCAAATTTACTTCATCACTTCTGCTAAGGTAAGGAAAATTGCCTCCAGATTTGAGATTTGCTAGCTTAGCATTAGGATAACATTTATAAACATCTTCTCGGACAGGACTTGAAAGAGCGTATTCATCAAAAACATCAATAATTGTCACAGCTTTCAAATAATTAACTTTAAGAGGATCAACAAATGAATTGGTGCAGTTTATTGTTAATCTTGAGGCCAAGTCTTGTTGACTTAAGCTGTCAAGCTAAAAATCAAAATTTTAAATCATTAAAGACCTTTTAAATTATTTATATGCATATATTTTGTAATTTTCGAAGACAATACATATAAAAAGGAAAATGCAGAGACGACATAAAATCATTTAATTCAAAATAAATTATCTTAAAATAGTAACATAAAAAAGTCTATAAATCTAATAATAATGCCATAACTAGATAGATATGTAGTTGCTGTAGTAATGTTATTTTTTTTAGCATATTACTAATGATTACAAAAAAAAGTATAGTCCAATAATTTGAGTCACCTCTTATTTCTTTTTCTTAGTCACTAGGAAGGTAATGTTACTTTAGAAGTATAATTGTTTGGAAATAATAAACCATTATGAAATAATTTGTAGCGTTTCTCAAAATAGAATGTAAATAAAAAATTAAAATATAGCTTAGATTTCACGGCATATAAACTTGTAAATATGTATATATTGGAGTACTGGCAATTCTCCACTCAAGTCCTGAGTGTCTGTTGCTCTAGTGCCCTCCATCAGTCTTCATTGGCTTCCAACACCAGTGACGCGGCTGGGAGAGAAGCATTGGGATCACCTGTAGTTCTGCTTTGGCTTCCACATTGGGGAGACAAACCTTGATTCAGATTTCCCTGGGCCAATGTAAATATTTTACGTGTGAATGTGTTTTATTTATTTTATTATCATTCAGCTTAAATTTATTATTTTATTTATCTTGTATATATGTATATTAATTCTTTTTATCTTATTTACTTTAACTTTTTATTTATCTATATTTTTATTTTTTTACTTTAGTTATTTATATTTATTTCCCTTTCATATGTGCATATTGTGTGAATGAATACTGTACCCCTATTACCAATGGGCTCTTCGATCTCCAAAAGGGCGTGAAAGGGTGTGGAGAAGAATAAACAAAAGATATGCAGCCTGTAATTTTTCCCAGAGCCAACCTTTCCAACGTGGTTCCTTAATGGTGTGGGCTGGGATTTCAATGGAGCACCACACAGAATTGGATGTTGTTCGTGGAGGGTCTTTGACGGCCATTCGCTATGTAGATGAGATTTTGGAACCTCTGTGTTGCCTATCCTCAACGAAATCGGCGATCGTTCTATTCTAATGCATGCCCACATGTCGCCCGCATAGTGCAGACGTTCCTTCAACAGAACTATATTGAGGTTTTAGCCTGGCCTGCACATTCTCCAGATTTCAACCCCATTGAGCATTTATCGGATAACATTTATGGGATAACCTCGGAAGACGAATAAGAGCACGTGCAACACTTCCTGATACACTGCAGGACCTTGAAAGGACTCTTCGGGAGGAACGGGCTATCCTCCAGCAAAGGGACATATCCCGACTGGTGGAAAGTATGCCGAGGCGTCTTCAAGAAGTAGTGAAGGCAAGAGGAGGAAACACGAGCTACTAAACGATGATGTAATTAATTTTTTTTAGAATAATAATGGTTCGTTTTTCAATTTTTTTTTCTCTAATTTTTCTTACCCAATCACATTTTGATTATTAACGGTAAAAAAGATTATAAAATTCCATAAATACTAAGTATTATCTACAAATTCCATGTATTATATACAAATACAACTTTTTTTATGTGTATGTATAACATATGTGTATGTATATCTATTTTACAAGATATATGTTATAATTAAGGCCTGGATTCAAATGCATAATTTTTTTTTTTGTGTCGCTTTTTCAAAAACATGAGCTATCTTTATGAAAAAAGTTGTTCTTAATCTTTTGGCACACTTTTTTGTAGCAATATTTGAACAAAGACATTTATAATGCACAGTTCGATTAATAGAATTTATTTCAGGTCTAGAAAATTGTTTAATTAATAAAATTACATTTTAATTCTTATGTAAATTAATATTTGACAATATGTTAATTATATTTTTAGCTGTTGGGTTATAATTGGAAAAATCCAACCGCACAACCAATTAAAGCAACATCAGGACAGAAAATAAAAATAAAAACCAACATCACATCACTCCTTGATATCCAATTCCATTGTCAGAGAGAGATGTGGTATTGGTTTTTCAATATGATAATGCCTTGGACACAAAAGGTTAAGAAGCCTTAAAGAATTCTATATCTATTCCAGATTTCATAATATTTTATCAATATCGTACAAATTGATCCATCACTTTACATTTAAATCTATAAAAAGAAAAAAAAATTAATAACAGTCATGCATTCAGAAAGCTAACACTTTGTGGTGATGGGAAGATTTGACGTAATGAAGTCTATATTGCAAGCTTTGTTTATTAAAAAATATATTAGCTTGTAAAAAAAAAATACCAAGTGAACAAATTTGCATCAAATTTTGGAAATTGTATTTATAAAACGAATCTATTATCTAAAAGTTGTTTCAATAAAATCTGTGACATATGCATATACTCCATTCATGACGGTAAAAACAATGATTAGAAAATCTTTAGCTCACCCTTTCCACCATGAAGTCCACTGAATCAATAATCCTCTTATCATGATGTGCATTAGTAAAATTTACCATGATCATTTTTTTCAAGACTAATGAAGGGAGCATCCAGAACCTGAAAATTAAAACATACAAAATTATACTTGCTTATTGATAAATTATATAAACAATATTATTTTCTCATAAATAAATTGTATAAACAATATTATTTGCACATTAACAAATTATATAAACAATGTTTCTGATAAATTTCTATTAAAACAAATATGTTTTATATGTTACTTCTATTTAATGAAGATTGATAGAACTAGACAATCTAATTAATATAAAGCAATACTTGTCATTATCTAGACAGACAATATGATAGTAACTGGAAGGTCACATCAAGGACAGTCAGAAATAAATGGAAGCACAGAGTAAGGCACTTCAAATAAATGTGGAAAATACAAATTTATTTTTATTAAAAGAAAGAAGCATGAATACTAACAGTAGCACAGTATGACAGGGATTCCACCTTTAAGGTAATCCATAGCTCACGATTCCTCGATTTAGTTATCAGGCAAAACCTGAATAGAAAAAAGAAATATAAAGGAGGATTCTGGCAAGAATATTCCACAAACAAGGTTTTACAAAAGTACAGTTTGAGCTGTAGTGATGTACACAAGTGAATCTTGGAACAAGAGTGGTTAACAGTAAATATACAGAACATAAACTGAAAAAAAATCCTTAGGCATATCTTATCATCAATCCAAGACACCAGAGGAGAAAAATAACTGGGAAGTCATAAAAAATCTATGTTGATTTAAGTATTTCATATATTGTTGTTATCATGAAACTGAAGTGATGGAGACGTCTATTTATTCATGGATACTAGAACCACTATAAAAAAGTAAAGAGTAAAAGAGAAAATAGGTTGGAAGTTGGAAAGACAGTTTCCTGGCAAATCCAGGGAATTAAAAACAAATACATGCTCAAAAGTAAAATATGTGGTTATGATTAGAGTTTCATGTTATTGCACATTTTATTTGCTTGCATATAAAAACCCCGGACCCGAATATTTATCCTATTCAGGATCTGAAGAATAACATTGCACGTTTTGCCCTGTTTGTCTTAAATTATACGATTTTGATTTTTTTTGCATGAAATTGCACTTTTTGTGCTAAATTAAATGATTTATAAATATAATTATATATAAGTGTGTAAATATTTACTTTTTTATTTTCCTATCTGGTCCATGCTAAAATCCTTCATAATGAAAATAATATTAATAAACACAGAATAAAGGGAGCTATATATATATTACAAAAAAACTTGAAAAATTCTGTAAATAAACATATGGACGTAAGATAATTTGAATACATTTTATGCGAGTTCAATTGAAAAATAAACATTTAAAATTAATTGCTAGTATTGCTTAAAATAGATCCGCACAAAATATAAAGAAACATCATGTGTGTGTATATATATATATATATATATATATATATATGAATAATCTTCCCTACTCATTCCCTACGCTGAAACATAATATGGTAATTCAATATTATATAAATCTTTTATTAAGAATAAATGTTATAATAATTAAGTAATATAATAGTTAAAAATAGATATGACTAGTATGATACTGGCTATTACGAGAAGATGCATGTATTTTACATAAGAAATATAATGGACAAGTACATGATAGGTAACTATAAAAAATTTTATATTTCAAAAGATGTGACTTTTTTAAAAATATGTCAATGATTATACAAATAATCATGTATGAACGTTAACAAAATAATATTAGATATGACTGTGAATTGAAAAATTGTTATTAGACTTGAAAATGGCTCGACGAGCGGAAACGTTGAACAGAAAAACATGGGTGTAATGTTGGCTTATATAAAAAATTAGAAACTGAAAAAATATAGGACAACGAAATAAAAGAAAATAATATTGACAAATGATTGGTATTCGCACTATACATCAATTCTCAAGTTTTCCATTTTTTTTTTAATATATCAGTATGGTAATGCTGATAATATACTCCCCCTGTTGTATGCAGAGCGATTCATAAAGCTGTTTGTTGTAACAGCTTTAAGAATCAATCCAGAGAAGCAAAACTAAAAAAAACTATTGGAGTAAATAGAATGAAGGATGCCCTGAATGATTTCCTCCGGAAAGAATTATTGGTATAATTCCCTTTTAGTAATATGGAAAAATCCTGTGAATCTGAAAGGTTTTAACTTGGACAGCCATAAACCTACATCCATGGGCATAGCCAGGAAAGGGAAAGATGGAGTAGTACTTACTCCTCAAATGCAGAAAAAAGTTAAAATTAAAATAGCAACAAATATAAATAACAAATTATGAGAAAACGAAAGAAAGCAACGGGCTGTTTATTAGTATTTAAACATTTTAATAGAAACAAATTACAAAAAAAGAAGGATAACCTGGCAAAATGAAATTAAATAAGAATAATTAAAATTAAAATTAAAATTAAATAAGAATAAATGTTATAATAATTAAGTAATATAATAGTTAAAAATAGATGTGACTAGTATGATACTGGCTATTACGAGAAGATGCATGTATTTTACATAAGAAATATAATGGACAAGTACATGATAGCTAACTATAAAAATTTTTATATTTCAAAAGATGTGACTTTTTTAAAAATATGTCAATGATTATAGAAATAATCATGTATGAACGTTAACAAAATAATATTAGATATGACTGTGAATTGAAAAATTGTTATTAGACTTGAAAATGGCTCGACGAGCGGAAACGTTGAACAGAAAAACATTGGTGTAATGTTGGCTTATATAAAAAATTAGAAACTGAAAAAATATAGGACGAGAGATGACGGCACCTACACATCTCTTCTCTCTCCCCCTCCATTGTAACGACTTTTATTCTCCCTACGACACTTAAGGAGACAGGTAGTACTTTTTTTATTTCTTTCTTAATTCAGCTTTCTCAATTTCTTCCCTCCTTCCTTTCATTCCTTTTCTCTGTTTTTAACTCTTTATTATATTATACATTGTCTGTACTTCTTTACAATATCTCAATTTTCTATCTAACTAATCCATTCTCAATGTTTTAATTTTACTATTTATTTTCATTTCTTATATAACTTCATATTTCTTTTTTATGTTTTACATTTTATTCTAAGATTCCCATTGTAACACTTTTGTCACCCTTTTTGATTATGCTTACTTCATCGTTCCACACTTTGTAACGGTTTTTATTATTTATCTCTTAGTTCTTAGTCATTATTCTAACAATTTCATTTTACTTTATATTTATCTATTTTATTTTTCTAATTTTTTTTTTATTTTTTTTTATTATTTTTTTTTTATTATCTTTTTCACCATCATTACTTATTTTTCTCATACCTTGTTATCTGGTTATTTTCTTAGCCCTGATGAAGGCCTGAACTTCAGGTCGAAACGTCGGCATATGTAAAAAATAAATTTTATCATTTATTTTTGCCTTCCTTTTTGACTGACCACCCCAACTATTCTTCTCTTCATTATAAACAAATTATAAGACTACAATGAAATATATACTTAGATATTTTCAAAAATGTATATACACTTTTCAAAATATTTTTAACTATATATAAGAGAAATATAGCGTAACTAGCTGTGCAAGCACAGCAAAAAAAGAAAGGCCTTTAAAATGATCAGGTCTAAAAAACTCAATTCTTCTTTAAGCAAAAGTTATATAAATATACCTGTTGTGTACTTGCTCTACTCAGATCGTACTAGTTAGATAAAATAGTTATTCATTCAAACCTCTTTTTCCAACTGCATTCTTAACATGTTAGCTTTGGTTACGGTACCCGGCATCTGATAGCTTTATATCAGATATAATGATTATTTAAGTTTGTATCTATCTTTACATCTATCCAATTCCCATTCAAATATTTATAAAAATGACCATTTTAGAGACTTCGTAAGACAGGCAAAATTCAAAACAATCCCGCCAAAGTCAAGAAGAATGTCGGAACCTGGGGACTGTCACCAGAGCTAACGTGTTAACAGGTCTCTTTCTCTATATTGACAATTTTTCCTTGATAATGATCACAGTCCCAATTTCTATGGTAAATCAATTAGGGGATTACTTCTCCTTGGATTCAGATTGATAATCTTCTCTCTTGCAGTTAATTTATTTTTCTTTCCTAAATGGTCATTAATCTAAGATAACGCACCTGGTAAATTACCTCCACTTGTTAAGAAAAAAAAAAAATTAACTGATCTAAAAATGAAAATACTGGGTCATAATAATTCCACTGATCCCTTATACAGATAGTGAGAAATACTAAAATATCACTCAAGAATTCTAATAATTAATCGACTGATCTGAGAATAGTTCCTTGCAATGGAGAGTTAGGAAGAGAATTTTCAATTTTAAACTAGAACTAATGCACTACAATAATAATTAAACGTTATTACTACTGTTAACTATTAAAACGAAAATAACAACGATAAAATGAATTATAAAAATTTATCAACACTACTTACAATGATGATGTTTCATTGTAACTGAATACAGATGTATCACAGAATGTATTACAGAGTACAAGTGAAGCCACTCTAGGACAATGAGAGGTATACTCTGCAAATTTCTGTGCCAAGAAACCTCCTTAAAAAAAAAAAAAAAAAAATTATTTACCAAACAGATTTGTAGTAAATACAATGTTCATTTAAATGCAAAATCTGTCAAATAAGAGCTAGGCTGATTGTGAGGATACTGTAACTTATCAAAAGGTTAGACCAATTAGGTAATATACAATCAGAGCTAAGATTTCAGTGGATATCAAATCATGCTTGGATTGTGTAGAACGAAAAGGTAGATGAGTTGACCAAGATGGCTTTCTCCAACAGCAATGTTTTCCTTCATCTTTTAGTGTAAGCAAGGCTCATATAAATTCACATATAAAAGACCGGTTAAGATGTTATCTTATAATCTATTAAACTAGAAAAAAAATGAGAAAATATTGTCACAGAGGTTCCAATCTCTCATTTGCTCCATAGAGTCTAGCGTTTTCCTTAGCTACAGGAGATATCTACCTGACAGCCCATCAGCATAAAATTATCCTCAGATTATCTATCCTCTTTGCTAGCAAGGAGATATGGGTGCAGCAAATTTGAACATTTGTGAGGATACTAAATTAATTGGACTGTACGGCAATAATAATCCTTCAAATCTCACTTGTATTTACTTTCAAAGGAGAACACAGACTACCAAATATTGAAGAAGTTGGCCAATATTTTTCTAAAAAATAACAGTGGTTTATCTCACAATCTAAAGGTTAGGTAATAGTCTAACCGCATGTAAACTGAGCAAAGGTGATAGATAACTTTACTATTGTGTCAGGAAAATAACAGTTGTCAGAATAGAAAAACAAATCTCTACATTGAAGATATGCAGGCAATTGAATAAGCCTCAATTGACTAGGAAACATCAGTCAATTGGTTAAAAGATAAAGATTATTTTCCCAGATAGAAGGATTTGTAGCAACCATTCAATATCAGGTTACTGCCCCTAGATCACGCAGAAGACATGTTCTAAAATAAGCAACTATACCAGGTAAGTGATGATTTTTGCTTAGTGATGCTGGAATCAATCCTACATACCACCAATACTGGCAAGATAGTTTGGAATTGCCTCTTGATATGCTAAGAAAGGCTCAACAGTTAGTTCTCTAGGATAAAGCATGACCACATCTGCTACTTGAATTCACTGGTCTTATCAGCAATAAACTGAACATAAATTGTAATATTATCTGTATATTTGTAGATATGTACAAAGTATTTGACACTATTCAAAACTCCTCACAAGTATAAAAGATACTGGGTTCTCAGACTCAGCTTTGAAAGTATTTAAGAGGTACCTTTGAAACAAGAAAGCAATAGTTAAGTTAGGAAACAGCCTGAGTAAAACAACTGATATAAGAACCGGTGTACCTCAAGGCAGTGTCTTGGGCCCAATATGTTTTAATAATTTCATAAACGATATTCAAAAAATAACTACCAGTGACGATGCGTATTTCTTTGCAGACGATCCCCTTTTTATCACATACCATAAAAATTACCAAACGGTCTTAGAAAAAACTCAAAGATTATATTACAACACTTTTTTAAAATGGACTCAAGACAAAGGACTTATAACAAACGAATACAAAACTGTTGTTAGGTCAACACAATCACCGCATATCGGGTCAGCAGTTGATCCTAAAATGAAAAACGACTGTATTTGTCTTAGCAATAATCCTGATAAAAATTCATTGTGACCTTCCCTCCCCCCTCGGCTCACCGCCTAGACGTCAGAATATTTGATATGTTCATACCCTAAGCACCCCAAACAAGTTTCTGAATGAATCGCTTAGGTCCCTGCTCGCACACTCTACTACCCCTTTTTGGGCATTCATGGACTGGACTTTAAGGAAACTAAAAAATAAATCTTTTATTGGATACGTTCTCATTTTTAAGTTTCAGTTACCTCTAATTCTATGGATCAAATACTGTGATTTTTCTTTTTCCTTACCTTATTATATTATATCTTTTTCTACTAGTCAATCCTAAAACTAAAACTTCTATTCCATCTAATCAAGCTATTATTTTTATTGTTATTTATATGCTTCTTTTCATATTTGTTAACTATTTTATTTATTATCTTAAAAATTATTACGGCTATATATTCATATCTAAATATAATCTTAATTATCTTTTATATTATATTATATAATCTTATAGATCTCATATATTGCCATTTAGTATTTAATATATTTATATTATATAGTCATTATGTTATAATTTATTAAATCTTTTTTACAATTTATAAATTTCAAATTAAATCTCTTAATACAAAATTGTATTATTATACTATGTTAGAATTGTATTATATTGAAATTGTTAGAAAAAAAAAATATAACCATGTAAAAATTATTTATTTATCATTAATGGCACCGACCGATAGATGTTGCCATCTGGTCAGACCAAATTGTAATTATTGGTTAATAAATTCTAAACTCTAAAAATGAATTGAAATAGACTATTTTAGATATACATTACCTAAGGATGCACCAAATAAATGAACTTTATCCAGCTCCAGATAATCAATTAACTTAACAAAACCAGCACACCAGTCACTAACCGACCAGTAAATTGGATGTTCAGCCTAGGTAAAGTAATCACTATAAGATAGAATAACTCACCAATTTAAGATTTGAAGTTAAAATCTTTTAACTGATAAATAAAGCTGCTCACTGATATTACACGGATCCCTTTAGCACTCAATCCCAACATCTGTTTGAAAAATATTTCAGCTGTTCCACAAACAGGTGGTAAACATACCAATGGAGTTCTTATTGTTTTAGGACCAGTATCATATATTCGCCATCCCTAGAAAGAAAACAATAATTCGAAATTTACATAGGCAATGAGAGTAACAATTCCTATATTCATAATTCACATCATAAAGAAAGGAGAATAAATTGAAACAAACCAAAAGAGAGATCCTAGAGAGGAATGAAATAAATACAAATATCTTCAGGGCATTCATTGATTCAAATCCATTAAGGCACCCTTGTTCAATAGGATAAGAGAGTAGAGATTCTTAATGACAACTATAAGGATAAAATTTATGATCTGATGAATGAAGATAGGCTTTTATCAAACATACAGCATATAAAATCTCGCAGAAATAACAAACAATGGTTCCCAAGATTGCACATCAGTGAAAAAGAAGATAAGCTCAACTTATCATATAGTCTATAAACGTTTATTTTCAGTTCAATACCTAAAAATATTTTGTGAGGTAAAGACTGCCACGAAGTGTCAATCGTATGGATATAATTGTAGCCCCTAAAGCCACACTTAGTACCAGCACACCCTCACACTGTCTTCAACTGTATGCAATTGAGAAAGCTATAAAAGTACACAATAATAAGATATGGACAGACATCAGCTCCATTAAAATCCTGTCAGAATTTTGGAATTCAGTCAGGAAATATATCTTCAGTCACAAAAAAAAATGGGTATAAGATCCGACGATTATGCTATAAATGAGATTCCAAGAATTTTTGAGGATTGACGTGTTATTAATTTATATTATAATATTAACCTCCCTTTATTAAAATCTTTATTAATGACACCAACAAAGTTCCTACTGGTCCTATGCAGTTAAAATCAGGGTGTTAATTATTTTTAATTACATTGCTGCTTTCGTCCTACGCCCACTATCTTCACTCAAGATATATGAATAAACACCCCACAGGTTCTTTTTAGATGGGGTCAGGGTATTACCAGATGGTCCGGTCACTTTTGGACCCACTTATGAGATCTTTTGCAACGTATCAAATGGGGTGACACTTATGTAGTTGTACCAAAGAGAGGAACTGATATTCTACAAAAAAATATCAACGTCTTTTTAATTTCAATTGTGATAATGCAATACAGTATGATCTCTATTTCCAGTTTTTAAAAAATAAAGGGTGGTATAGTATAGGCATTCAGGCTACACACCACCCTGCCCTTATTTCTATTACCTCATTACTAAGATTAAAATCTAGTAGGCTAGATATCCTTTTCTATTGAACGAAAATTAATAAAAATGATGAATTATATGAAAATAATAAATAAATCTCTAAAAGTGACATATTCAAAAAGAAAACTAATTCATGTAATATATGAAAACATTGTTCACTGTCTTTTCTGAATAATAAGACTTTGTTACAATGAAATATAAAACTGTCATTATTAATTTCTGGGGTAAATTGACAAACAACATCACTCAGCCAAGCAACCGGAGGTAAACTAAAAGAAACAATAGTAGGTAGAAACTTAATATAACAAAAACATTACTGATAACCACTGTACAAATTAATTCATTTGGAAATAAAATCAAAATAGTATAACTACCTTATCTGAATTATTATCAACAAAAATTGTCCTTAAAGGTATGCTACTTCTGAAGCTCACATATTCTAATGACTGGGCCAAATCACTCAATGACACCATATTTAATCATTTAATAATAATAATAATCTATTCATCAAAGTCCTGATAAAATTCCAAGTCCTTTGACTTCAAAATTATTCAAAACACATTTGTCAACTTGTGATAAGCCAAGATAAAATAAATACCCAAGGAGGTAGATATCATAAACAATGGCAGCTAAAAAACTTACACACGCAGGTTTTTAAAACTTAGTTCAAGAAAATAAAAACTCGCTCAATTTAAAAAAAATGAAAAGTATATTAAAAATTGAGAAAAACATTCCATATTTATAAAAATATACAACCTTTTAGCTTAATTAAGCAAACATTAAAATTATAAAATTCCCTGAAAAAGTATAAGAACACTAATGATTATTTGTATTTTTTTAAAACATAAACTTAATAATTCCAGGCGTTGAGAGGTGGCGGCCCCATTGCCCGTACGCGTATTTACAAACCCTCTACGGATTCAGACACTCTGTACACGTCTAGGTTTTGTAGTGGACATGGGGGCTGACCCATTACAAACCCTACACGGATTCAGATGCCTTAACTCTACCTATACGCTGGGGAACTTAAGTCTAATAAAATTAATATTTTATATATATATATATATTTTTTTTTTTTCGGTTGGCGCTACAGACCATGAAGATCTTTGACCGCGAGTGTGTCACAGTCACATCCCGATTCCCGATTTAAAGTACGGGGTATGGTCATCAATCATACGCCCGGTCGGTGTGAGGTGCCTCCAGTAGGCCTCACATACCCCGTGGGGGGGGGGGAGGAATCTCGGGCAGCGGGGTTTTCCTTGGTGGACATTCACCCATCCAAGAGCTAGTCACAAACCTGATCTAAGTAAAACGTGTGATTAAAGCAAACAAAAAGGAAGTTTCGAAGTTTCATCTTTGTTTTGTTCTTTTAGGACCTTAAAAGTAACACGACACAAGCCTCAGCCAGCCTTCATACCGTGTTTTTTAGGCTTTCTAAACTGGAGTCTAGGATTCTGAAAATAGCAAAGAATCCTTTATCCATTTCTTTTAAGTAATGCAGATACCACTCATTGACACCACCAATTGTGGTATTCTGCATTCTGAGTCTTTTCATTAAAGCCTCCTCAGTAAGTACCCTCCCTGGAAAGAAGGCACCTATCTTGGAGGTTTTTGTGAGTTCTTGAACAACTCCCGTACGAAGGTTAATACCCTCTGCTGGATTGATGCTCAAAATTATCTTTGCCAGCCAAGTGCTTGTTTCATCATTCATGCATGAGACAATACCTCCCCCATTTTGTAGCTTACGCCATCAAAAATTGGGTGATATTCTCCGTTTTCATCAAGCTCATCCACCTTATCGGCGATGAGTTATTTTAGTACCTCTACTTGTTCATGGTCTAGAATGGCTAGTGAATAGTTCGTAGGAACCTCTGCAACCAGATGACCTCTCAAGGCTGAGCCATAAATCTTACTTACTGTTCTCTGAGCTTCTTGGTACTAGGTTCCGAGGGACCCAGAGAAGTTCTTTATCTTTTGCCCTTCTTTGAAGCTAGTCCAAGGGTCACCGCAGCCTTAGGCGTCGGGTCTCGAGAGACCCCTACGTCTATAGCTGGTGGCCCAGAGGGAGGCTCCATTTGGGTAAAATATTTCCTAGAAACCTTTGCAGAGGGCGATTCGTCCTTGGAAGCCGGACCATGTTTGGCCCTTGCACCCTTAGCTTCCCTTAGTGTTGGTGTGTGATGTGAAATGAAATGAAATGAAATGAAAATGAAATGAAATGAAATGAAAAAAATGTTTTATTATTCTGGGACTGTTGTCCCTTAAGAACAAAATATGAATACAGATTATATGTCTGTGTGGCTACAATTAAATTGTATATTTACAATGAAAGTTGGCTTACGATAAAAATACAGAAAAGAGAAAGAAAAGAATTAGTAAATTGTACATATGTATGAGAAACTAAAATAACCTTAATAAATTGAGGTAGTCTCTGGTGGTGCTCAGATATTTCTCTTAAATATATTTCACAATCATTCGGATTGAGAAAGGAGTAGGTGCTTAAAGAGGAGAGGTTTAAACGAGGAAACTGATTGAGCGTGTCGAATATCAGCTGGGATGGAATTCCAGAGGGAGGCGGCTTGTATTACAAAGGATTTGTCAAACGCAGCAGTTCGGTGAGGAGGAGGATAGAGGTCGGAAGTACGAGATCTGGTGGGACGGGATTGGATGGAATATTTGAATTGTAAGCTGTGAAAAATATAGGAGGGTCGATGGGTTCTAATGATTTGGTACAGAAAGGTGGCTAGGAAGTACTGACGGCGATAGGATGGGTAGAGCCACCTCAACTCAGTGTAATACTGGGTAATATGCGTATCCCTTGAGATTCCGAAAACAAATCGTAGTGCGCAATTCATTAGGCGTTTAAGTTTGGCCTCGGAATCTCCCGGGAGTCCACCGTACACCATACAGCCATAGTCAAAGTGGGGGAAAACAAGGGAGGAAACTAGGAGTTGACGGGACTTATATGGAAGGAGATATCGTAGACGATTGAACTGTTTTAGGGTGGAGATAGTGCGACGGGAAATTTGGGAGATGTGAGGTTTCCAGGATAGGGATTGATCGAAAGTAACACCTAGGTTTTTAACGGTGGTGTAGAATAAGATAGGTGAGTTGTTCAGAAAGAGATTGGGAGATACCGGGGAGGATTTGAGGAGTGAAGGGGATCCGATCAAGATGGCTTTTGTCTTCTCGGCGTTCAGAGTGAGCCTATTGAGGTTTGCCCAAGCACTTATTCTGTCAATATCTTCCTGAAGTTTTTGAGTGGCATCTGAGATATCTGTCGGATTAAAGGAGAGGTAAATTTGAATGTCGTCGGCATACAGGTGGTAATGACAGTGCAGGATAGAGGATGGGAGGTCATTTATATAGATGGAGAAAAGGGTGGGGGATAAGGAAGAGCCTTGTGGGACGCCTCTGGTCAGAGGTAGAGATTCTGATGGTGGGTTATTAGGAATTACAACGTACTGGGAGCGACCGGTTAGGAAGGATTGGAACCAATTAAGGGAACTAGAAGAAAAAGAGATATTTTTAAGTTTGGTTAGGAGGATGTTGTGGTCTACTGAATCAAAAGCTTTGGAGAAGTCTAGGAGAATAAGGATGGTTAGTTTCTGCTGATCTATGGCTGTGTGAAGGTCTTGGGAAATTTTGATTAGGGCAGACTGAGTAGAATAACCAGGCCTGAAACCGGACTGGTAGGGATTTAGGAGATTATTGTCCTCTAAAAAATGGGATAGCTGGGATTGGACTAACCGCTCTAATGGTTTTGAGAGGTTTGAAAGGAGGGAAATCGGTCGGAAATCATTAGGAACTGATGGGTTTGAAGTCTTCTTCAATGGGCGTACTAGGGCGGTTTTCCAGGATGTAGGGAAGGTGGCATTTTGAAGAGAATAATTGTATATATGATAAAGGATCGGAAAAATGGATGGCAATGCGGCTTTAATTAGTCTGACTGGGATGTTGTCGGGACCGTAATCATTGGTATGGGACTTCTGAATGGATTTAAGGAGCTCATCTGGTGTAATATGGGAAAGAAAGAAGTGATCAGGATTAAAGGAAGAGAACATAAGAGCCAGACTGGACGTGGGAGATGTGGATGCAAGAGGACAGGAGACAAAGTGAGCGTTGAGGTTATCAGCAGAAACGGAATTGGACTGAGACTGGGGTGCATTACCAATGGTCAGTTTTCTAAGAATAGCCCACGTAGCCTTGGTATTGGGAGAGTTGGATAGGGAATGATGGTAGTAACGGGATTTAGCACGGCGTACTGCTGATTGAGTGCTATTTCGAAGCTGTTTGTAGGAGAGAAAATCATCAGGAAGTCGAGTTCGTTTAAACCGTCGCCTTGCAGCATCTCTTTCTCTCATACACTCCCTCAAAGCAGGAGTAAGCCAAGGAGCTGGAGGATATCGGATGGTTTTTGTGATAAGAGGAGCATGTCGGTCGAGGATAGAGTGAAGTTGAGTGGTAAGGATTTCTACCATGGTGTCTATGGATTTTGAGGAGTAGATGGGATCCCACTGGATATCGTCAAGACCTTCTGACAATGTTTCGTGAGTGAGATAATCTAGGTTTCGGAAGGATATTGTTCGGGGAGAAAAGGATGGAACAGGGACATTGTAAGAGATCTGGACAAGATCGTGGGAAGATAGAAACGGAACCGGGTGCTGAGATGCGGCAAGGAGTTTGTCTGAGGAATCCAGGATAATTAGATCGAGCCAGGACTCTGAATACTGAGTATGATGGGTTGGATTGTAGGGTACTATGTAAAGGCTGAGAGAATTAAAGAGGTTTGTTAGGTAGGAATAATCAGAGGATGGTGCCAGTAAATTGGTGTTAAAGTCACCGGAGAGGATGATGTTTGAGTAGGAAGGGATTAAGTTGTACAATAAAGTCTCAAGTGATTCATCGAAAGGAATTATAGGAGGGCGATATATGACAGCAAACAGAATGGCAGATGAGGTTGTGAGGATTTCGGCGAAAAGGTATTCAACGTGCGGAGAATCGGTTATGGAAGAGCAGTGAAGGATTTTGGATTTGAGACTGTCATGGACAAAGAGACCTACTCCACCACCCGTGCGATCTACTCTGTCATGACGAAGGAGAGTATAGTTAGGTAGAAGGATCTGGGAGGACGGGATTGTGGGTTTCAACCAGGTTTCGGATACGGCAATTAAATGGTAGAAGTTATGGAGAAAAAAGTCGTAAAATTCATCAAAATGGGCTAAGAGTGACTGAGCGTTGACGTGGCAGGTTAGAAGGATATTAGTCATGGAAGAAGGAGGGGTGGCTTGGTAAACGGACAGAAGGAGTTAAGGATAGGAATATTTCTACAGCAGCTAGAGCCAATATGAGCCCAGAGACCATAACTATTGATATTATCTCTATTGAGAGGAACAATAAGTGTGCAAGATTTCCTAGATATTAATAAGGATGGTAAACAAAAAATATAAAATTTAGTTAACGAAAAGCATATTCCTATTGTGCAAAAGAAAAAAAATACATAAATTAGAATTTCTGAACAGATCAGACCTAAAATATTCTCATAAACAAAAATGAAATTATTATCATAGTCTATTATTAAAACAAACGCAACAAAAACATAAACCTGGGGATATAAAAAAGTAAAAACAAGATTGTTCAAAGTGATGTAACATGTATATGCATGTCAAGCAAACGTGTCTAAATCTGATGGTGAGTTGATGACGACGACCTGCTGTCCATCGTCTCGTCGACATTTCACCTTGCCTGCGCTAAACCAACTGTACCTGATTTTTCCTGCAGACCTGTTTTGCCGGGCCAGCCAGTACAGGTGTCTGTTGGTTACGGACATAGCTTCGCTCAGGTAGATCTTGTGGGCGTCATTTTCTTGCCATCCGAGGTGACGTGTTGAAAAATCCCTAATGACTTTTCGCCTCTGGATCAACTCATCCCTAAGCGACTGCCGGACGAACCTTACCACAAGCGGCCCAGGTGTATCGTCTTGCCTGGTTCTTATCCGTTCTGCATAGTCTATGTCCTCCACCTTTAGACTAAGGCCCAGGCCCGCCCCCACGCTCATCGCCAAGCCCATCGGGGTCTCTCCAGATCTCACTGGGACTCCTCTTATTTCTATTGACCTGGAAAGGTGCAATTGCTCACTTTTATTGAGCCTGATTTCGAGCTCCGAGACCCGAGACTTGAGAGTCGTGTTTTCCAGGACCAGTCCGTCAATCTTGGAATTTTGAGCCTCCAGTAGTGACTCTATAGTGTCTAATTTCGCCGCATTCTCAAAAGTTATAGAGGCTTGCTTTTCGAGAGATATTTTTAATTCTTTCACCTCGTTAGCATTGGCATCGAGGGAGAATTTTAATCCTTTGACCTCTTCTGTTAGATTTTTAATGGCAGCAAGTAGCAGTTGTGACGTGCTGTCGACAGTTTGTTGTTGTGGCGCCGATCTTGGCGGGCTAAGGCACTTGTCTGTCGGTTGGATATTTTTCCGAGCCTTTTCACATTTCGGGCATACAAAATTTTTTCGTATTGCCCTCAGTGCTTCGAACTCACTCTCGTCTGCGTTTAGACATTTTCCATGGAAAATGGCTTGACATGTTGTGATAGTGCATGGCATTGTTTTTTTTTTCTTCTCTTGCTATGGTCTGTTTACAAATTGGGCATAAAACCATCTTGATAAGCGAGAAAAAAGAAGAAAGAAAAAAAAAATTACGTAAGTAACGTGGTAAAAAAATTGACGTTACCCCAACCTTGTCACTGGAAACACTGAGATATCTAGTACCTAGTCCTATCTATGCGCATGCGCTCCCCACCTATATTCTTATCTAGAATGCCTGCAATAAATACCTTAAGCCGACTAAAACTATGATTTTTCCTTTCTTCTTCTGACGTGAAACGGCGGTGTATTGAAGAATCTTTCCTGTCTGTGGATATAACACGATTAATAGTTGGTTCTAACCAAAAATTATGACAGAACTCCTTCTAAAAACTGCGAAAATCACTAACTATAAACTGACTGAACTTTTATCATACGCTCTGAACTGAGGTCTAGACCACACTGTGATGTGTTGGGCTTCATCGGTCTCCTCGGCCTTGTTTTCAGGATCTGGGATGACCCTTACATCATTAGCCGAGTTGTAGGCCCCGATTATGGATGAGCCTTTTGAATGATTTTGGCGGTAACTCTATTCCTCCCTTTCCCGCCTTCTCGTTGTTTTTGGTAGTTTCACTGTGGCAGAGGCTGATTCTTTCGGAGTCAGTTCTCCGCCAACCACCTGACCATTTAATTCAGTCGAGCCTTCTTATAAGCTCGTTTCTTGGAGGTTTTTTTGGAGGCAGGGCAACAGCTCCAGCATCGGCTGTAGTCACCCTCCTAATCTCCTTTCCTTCATAACAAACTTGAAGTCACTCGACTTCAGCCGTGATAGATCTAGAAGTGCCTCCCATCGATGTCTCATCGAGGGTGATGTTTAAAGAAGCCCCTGAAAAGTCATGATAATTGAAAGAAAAAAATTGTCCAATTGGTTGGCTTTTATTAAATTTCTGCATTTTGGTCTCACGAATATGGGGGAAAATAGACTGTTGGTACTGTCCCCTCTCCCTAGAGCTGGCACTATGGGGTGTGGCTAAAATACGAAAATTGGTTGTTAATTTAAGAAAGCAAGCTTTCGACCGGGTGTGGCACGATGGCTTGCTTTTCAAGCTCAAAACCTATTTACCCCAATCCTTATACCTAGTCCTCAAATCCTACCTCTCAAATCGTTCCTTTCAAGTCCGTTGTGACACCGAATTCTCCACTTACTATCCAGTTGAGGCTGGTGCTCCACAAGGCAGTGTCTTGGGCCCAGTTCTCTACATCCTCTTCACTTCCGATATCCCTTCAAATCCCCATACATTTCTAGCTACATTTGCTGATGATACTGACATTCTATCCTCCCACTCAGATCCTCAAATAGCATCTCTAAACCTACAATCTCACCTCTCCTTGATTGAGCAGTGGTGCAACAACTGGCGCATCAACATCAATGAATCAAATTGCAAACATATCACTTTTACCCTTCGACGCAGATCCTGTCCGCCAATCCTTTTTAATTCAATTCCACTTCCCTACTCAGACACAGTCCGTTACCTTGGCTTCCTTCTTGACAAAAGACTAACTTGGAACCCACATACCAGACTTAAAAGACAAGAACTTAACCGACGATATGGCCAGCTGTATAAATTACTAAGTAGGACATCCCATCTTTCGATTGAAAATAAACTTTTAATCTACAAGACCATACTGAAACCTATCTGGACCTACGGACTTGAACTGTGGGGAACTGCTAAACATTCGAATATCAAACGCATCCAATCCTTCCAGTCCAAAGTAATCAGAACAAAAGTTAATGCCCCATATTATGTCACAAACAATACCCTACACCATGACCTTAACATCCCATTTGTCCTCGACATCATCCCATCCAGATTCTCAAATTTTCACCAGAACCTTATCCATCATCCAAATCCTCTAGCTCAATCCCTATCCAGCTCCCTTCATCCCTACAATCCTCCACGAAGGTTAAAACGGCAGTGGCCCAGAAATCTCTTGTAAATATGCTTCTGGAGTCCTGGCAATGGCCAGCATCTTCACTCATGTCCTGAGCGTCTGTGGCTCTAGTGCTCTTTTTCAGTCTCCACTGGCTTCTAATACTAGTGATGCGGCTGGAAAAGTGGCACTGGGATCTCCTGGAGTCTTGCATTGCCTTCCACATGTGGGGGAAAAAGCCTGCCTCGGAGATTCCTGGGCGAATGTATATATTGTATATAGGTATGATTGTGTTTAGAAGTTTCTATTTTATGTTATTTGTTTACTTTTTTTTTCTTTTATTTACTTTATTCATCGGTATTATTTATTTACTTTTTATATTTATATTTATTTCTCTATTATGTGTATATATTGTATGAATGAGAACTCTTAGCCCTAATACTTATAGCCCTCCAGCAGTGGCTGATTATATTATTATTCAATAAATAGATTTAAAAATAAAAAAAATTAAGAAAAGAAGGAAAGTCACTCAGAGAAACTGACAAAACAATTTCCAAATATCATTCCACAATTCAGAAAATCATCAACAGGTTTGGAGAGACTGGAAACTTTTGAAATCGACCAAGACAAGAGCTGGACGCCTGAAAAATTGCAAAGGATCCATAAGCGTGAAATGAAAAAACGAGTGCTGCTTCCATTGCAAATATGATTGAAAATGGTTATGCCATTAAAGTTACACCACAAACGGTGCGAAACGTTATAAAAAATCCAGAGTATAACTCGGGATCTGCTAGAAAAAAGCCTTTTATAAATAAGGTGAATAAAGGTAAACGTTTATCGTTTTCAAACGAAATATGAATGAGCCAAGTAATTTCTGGGAATGAATTTTTTTCAGTGATGAATGTAAATTTACTTTATTTTCATCTGATGAAAAGTTTCAGTTGTGGTGGAAACCTAATTAAGCGTTAGGAGGTAAAAACTTGTGTCTCACGGTCAAGCATGGAGGTGAAATCATGGTTTGGGGCTGTATGTGTGTTTCTGGTGTGGGGTAACTTAAAATTATTGACAATATAATGGACCAATACGTGCACACAGACATATTAAAATAAAATTTAAAATCAAGTGCAAGGAATCGTGGTATTGGGTCATCATTTATGTTCCAACAAGACAATGAAGACAACCAGAAGCATGGAACGCAGAAAGTCGAAGAGTAGATATTCCATAATACCTCAAGACAATTAAAAACTCCATACCAATTATCGGATCTAAACCCAATCGAACATCTATGGGATGAACTAAAGTGAAGACTGAAAAAAAGAAAGATTAAAAACAAATCACAATTTAAGGCATTATTAACGTATGAATGGAAGCAAAATGAGGCGAAGTCACTAAACAATTAGTTTCGTTAATGAATAACCTTATACGAGCGGTTATAAAAAATAAGGGAAGTCCTACATACCATTGATTCATGCAAATTGTATATTATCAATATTATGTTATAAAAATATTGAGAAAAAAACCAAGTGCACACAAAGTTATTTGGGTTATAAAAATTAATTATTTGTGTATTGCAGATGTAAAACTTCAAAATTTTCTTGCAAACCTCATTATACACGTTCTTCACTATTATACTTTTGTGAAACAAATAAAGTGTGTTGTTTTATTGTTTATTGCAGTAAAATAATTTAAGGCAGTGATGTACCCAGACTTTTTTTACTAACTGTATATATATAAAAGGGACCAGGGAAAACTGTTCACTTTTTTAGTTTTCAAATAAAAATGAAACTAAATCTAGTCTTGAATATTACAAATGGTAATTAGATAGTGTGCAAAGTCATACTGTAATACATAATTAATTATTGAAGAATATAAATAGGTACCATTCCGACTAGTTGGAGTCTGCTTCATTATTGTAGCAGTGCTCTGTGGATCCAAGCCTGATCTAGACGCAATCCAACAGAGTACTTTTCATATTTAGTCTCCATTGGTGCTTCATTAAGGTCCAGGCTCAATGCCCGTCATCACAACATACCTTCAACTGTACAGCTCCATTCCTTTGTCTTAGGTTAAGCGATTTGTTTATCATTTACATTTTAAATAACATGTACTACACTATTAACGAGTTGCAATTCTTGTTAAATGTTCCTTCCTGTTGATAAATAAATAGGAAAGTATTTGTTGAGCAGTTGTTCAATGTTGAGCAAGAAGGAGAGCAGATCTCCTCATGAAGTTCTGAAGACATTTTATTATCAAGCCGCAGCTTCGTTGGTCGATTGTGGTAATATATAATATTTATCTGTATTAAAATTTTCTAAATGTGTTTTGTTCAGAAAAGAAATGAAAAGTACTTTAATTGTTTCCTTAATATACCTTCATCTTCTTCTTAATTGTTACTTCTACAGTTGAGCGGTGTAAGGAGCCTTCTTGTTGGGCTGAACTCACAGCTCCTGATCCTTTGCCAACTGCTGTCTCCTCCTCCAGCCCATATCTCTTCTTTCAAAGGCTTCTGATACCTTCCTTCCAAGTAATCCTGGACTTTTCCCGAAGGCATTCTTCCATCTATGTTACTCTCCAAAGCAATCTTGGCCACTCGGTTCACGGCCATTTGAGATACTTGACCAAACCACTGTAGTAGATGGCCTCTAGTGACATTAAGTGAGGGAATGAGAAAGGGTGTACAGGAATGTAGGGATGCACTATGAATTGAACTCAATTGTGCAGTGGACAAGTTGTTTATTAAAAAGTATCAAATCTATAAACAATCGACATAAGAGGTACAGAACAAAGAAAGGAAGAACCCTGGAAAAGTACCGGGAGGTGGCAGCAGCTGGAGTGAGACACTGGAAGAACAAAGAAGACTTCACTTGAGGACGGGACAGAAAGACTGAATGATGTTACCAGAGGAGAGGCCCACTCCACTGAGGATTAAGAAGATCAATTCATTCATTAAAGTTGGGGAAATAAATTATTTTGTGATAAAGGAGTGGATAGTCCTTTTATTCATCTGTTCTACATGCCTCATAATTGAATAATAACAAGCCAGGTGAGTTAATTCATTCAAAGTGTGTTTATTCAGTCCCATATTTCAT